TGAGGGCTTACAATCTAAACGGGAGGGGCAAGTGATACATGAGGAGGTAGCTGTGTGGGGATGAATTGTTTGAGAATGTGATAGTTCAGTGGTTAGGTTGAGGTGGGATAGGCTTCCCTGAAGAGATGAGGATGGGAGAGATTCTAGTGAAGTCCTGGAGGCGAGCATGGGAGGAGTTGATGAGGGAGCTGGAAAGTAGGAGGTCTTTTGAAGACCGGAGGGGACGGTTAGGGTGATACTTTGAGACCAGGTTTGAGATATAGCCGGGGGCAGAGTTGTGGATGGTTTTGTAAGTGCTTGTTAACATTTTGAATTTTATCCTTTGGGCTATGCTTCTCCATACCTAGAAGTACCGGGTAGTTTTTTTCGACCCCTCCAACAGTAAATGTTTGGTGAATGCTCATTCACTGCTTTATAAATATGCCCCATAGTGAGGAAGGGACAGTGCAGTATCATGTGCAGGAGGCTGCAGTCTCTTTAAGGAACATTGTGGAGAGCTTGCTTTGAGTCTTTATGAAATGGAATTTAATTGTTTGTAATGTTCCTTTAAGCTTGAAAGGATCCATCTGTATTTGTATATGGAGAATTCATCCTCATGTCCATTCTTGTCTTATTAATATCTCTTTAATGACCTCAAATGTTCTAGAGGAAAAGGAATCTTCTCTGGTCTTTACATCTGTCACAATGAATGTGCTCGTGCAGCTATGTTTATAAATTGTATTTGATTTGTGAGTTCTCTTTACAGTGTCTGATATTACTGCTCCCCTCCTCTCCGCCTAGAGCGAGTGATGTATTGCACGCTTCAAGAGATAACATCTGGAAAAACCAACTAGCTAAACACTGGTGTGATCTACCGCAGACTGCTAAGCTCTGGTGGTCAACTACGAATAAGCTTATTATTATCACCTTAAGGTCTATTAACACAGTGTTAGCATATCTAAACCCCCCAAAAAATGTATTTCCGCGTAACAATCCTTCGATGTGGTGGATGCATTCGTTTTTCTTTTGTATGTTTTTTGCTTTATTTTCACCAGGTGGTCTTGCCAGTAACACACACCTCATCTCTTAGGAAGGCTACACTCACTCCTCCACTGTATCTATGGAGCAACAATGAAGCCACCCTTGGACAGCAGCATTGTCAACCTGTGGAGAGGATTCAAGTGGACTATATAATTTAGATGGACTTGACATAAGTCAAATAAATAAAAAAATAAAATAAGCAAAGCACAGTATTGTGTTTATAGCCAAACAGATGGCCAGCTCCTCAAAGTCCACAGAAGATTGAGGTGCGCGGGGTACCTTTTTAAAATGAAGATCCATCAGTGAAACAGAAAGAAAAAGAAAACAAGCATTGATTTTAATAGCAAATTGTATAAAGACTCTGGCAGTAAAGTAATCAATGAAACACTCTTCAAAATCTAATCAGGGATGCAACGGCGGTAGAAGTCCCATCAGTCCCCGGCCAGTGGCAGGGCCCAGAAACTGTCAGAAAAGCATTCACTGTGTAGGACCTCCTCAGACATGGCAATGAACAGCGTCCTTGGTTGCCTAGATGTCCTCATATTGTGTTTCAGGGTTTTATCCTTTTTTTCAAACCTGCCAAAATTTGAGCCATGGGTTGGCTATTGGCACTATCTGGCTTGACAAACTTCAACTGAAAAATCAAAGGAGCTGGGGGATAAATTGTTGGCCAAACAGCAACTGCATCCAGCACCTGGGTTCTTCAACCTACGCTGCTTAGCATGCATAGAGGAACCTATTAGCCCATAGGCTGATCAAGAGAAATGTATGCATGCATGGGTAGCTTTGGTGGCACCAACAGGAAATGGGAGAATTATTCTGCATGTCTATAAGTGTCAGGCATGGGTTGAAAGAGATTGTTCAATATTACTTGAATATTGCAAAACAGGAGCACACCGGCGACAATATTAAGAATGCTTCCAACTTCTCACCAGTCTTAGAGGTGAGCAGTGTCCAGGTTTATGTGAAAGCAGAAGGAAGTCCCAACACTGGTCCAACACACAACTAGTATAAATGGCTCCTAAATCCAAGTTTCACTGTACAGTCTGTACAAATGGTGTACACACAGTAATTCTGAGCTGGCAAGAACCATCTCACCTACTCCACCGAGGCTGGAAGCTTCTATACCAGACAGGGATGTCTTCCAATACATGAAATACAAACACACACAGAGTGCTTTTTCCTCATGAAGTATATCTTAAAAATAGCAAATATTGCTCATGGGTCACTCTACTGGAAATCTCCAGGTACACCCAGTGAACAGAGCGCTGACAGCTGGACCCACCAGCAATATTGTTACAGGGACCATGCCCCTTCCTTGGAGCCACTTGAGGAATATAGTTCACTAGGAAAAGGCATTTTGTGTGTGTTTGTGTTTCATGTACAAATGGGATGTCTGTTCCAGAAAAGAAGACTATCACGATGTTCCTTTCTGTGTCTGTTTGCTGAGTGATGTGTTACCATTACTGCCTCCTATTCAGCACCTGTCTCCTCAAATATCTCATGTTTGGGTCCACAAGGAAAGTTAACCCTCCTTGTCTTCAGCTCATCATTTTTCATGGACTCTGTGGAGGATTAGGTTGGGGGTCCAGGGTAGTGGTTTGGGTGGTAATGTTGGTTTATAACCAGGTCTTTGCAGCCCCAAACAGTAAATGTTAGACAAGGTTTTCCCTTAGGTTTTTAGGAGAACAGCCACTGCCATGCTTACCAGACTTGTGCATAAAGAATGCAGGGGCATCCACTATTATTCTATTAATTGCCCATTGAACAAAAGGAATGATGTTTATAGGTCTCTTCTATACATTAACCTAATAAAGAAACAATGTTGTATGCCAATAAGATTAGTATCTGCCATATGCGTCATACATTTTCCTTTCCATCTCATTGTGATTGTTGCCCAGGACTCTTTGCTGTATAGTTCAACTTCCCACTTATACACACAAGACATCCACTGTTTAAAGGTCATTTTTGTGGCTTTTTTGCTTCAGCGTAATGAGTCACTGGGCTGTCGGCAGCTTCAATATTGTGCCTAGAAATGGTGATGAGTCACAGGCCTCTCTCTAGTCACTGGCTTGTCTTTTCTTCTGGTTACCAAGTTACCAATGAAGAGGCACCACTGCACTTCCTCCATTAACTCCTATATTGCTGGAGGAAACATAACTCATAGATTGACAAATACCAGTCCCTTAATAAATACATGGATGAATATGATGGGTAAATATGGATACATGTGAAACACGGGAATCATAATGCTGCAATGGTGCAGTTTTAATAAAGCTGTTATTGTTTCATTAATATATTGCTCCCATATGCGGAAAGTTTTTGGTACTGGGCTATATAACCTTAAAGCTACAGTCGTACCAGTATTTGTATTTTTAGTTTTAAAGGAAGTGAATGTTTACACCCTTAGCTAAAGATCGTCTGGCCCGAGCCCACAAGGCTCCCAGGTCTACAAGGGAGATGTTGGGATGGGGGATGGTACTGAGACCAGAAAAGAGGAGTCCAAAGCTTTAAATGCATGAAACTGGTATACTTTAGTTCTGGTACCTCCATAAAGGGTATGAGACCACGGTGTCCTGTACTGAAAAAAACTGAAAGGATGTAGTAGGGAATGGCGCTGATGTCAGCACGCCAGGGCCCTTCAACTGAAGTGTTCCAGGAGCAACCGGCTTCAAAAAAGAGGCGAAAAGGACCAAGCGTGACTGGCTCAAAGACTATGAAAAATATACGTATAAAAAAAAGTAAAAATTATAGTGGGGGTCTACATGTAGATGGGAGGGGGCAATTGGGACCAGGAAGGAGAAGAGTTGGCCTTTAAATGCATAAAGCTGATATACTCTAGTTCTGGTACCTCCATAAAGGTGACGTTACCACAGTGTCCTGCATTGAAAAGATTTAAATGATGTAGTAAGTAAGGAATGACGCTGATGTCATCACGTCAGGGCCGTTCTCTGCATGTTTAAGGAGCGACCAGCTTCAGAGAAGAGGCGAAAAGGACCTAGTATGACTGGCCTGAATACTATGAAAAATACAAGTATAAGAAAAGTTAAAATGATAGTGGTGGTCTACATGTAGATGAGAGGGGAGGGGGCGCAATTTGGACCAGGAAGGAGGAGTGCAGAGTTGGCCTTTATATGCATAAAGCTTGTATACTCTAGTTCTGGTACCTCCATTCTATACTTTTATGAATTGCTCTGATGCTGAGTTCGGTATACAGACAGGCCAGGAGCTATGGAAAGAAGTGAAATAAGTAAAAGGCCTACATGACAAGGGTGGGAAGGGGAACTAGGAAAGAAAAGGGTTAATGAAAGGTGAGAAGCTGATTAGAGTAGGGATACTCACAGGATTGGAGGAAAATGGTTTTCCAGGAGGGGCTTCAGAGAGTATCCAGGAAGGAGGAGTTCCGGGAGTTCAGTGTGATCAGGAGAAGGAGCGGACTTGGTATGGTATCTGTGGTCGTTGAAGTTTGTTGCAGCGCTGTTTGGATCCTTGAAGGCATTTGTCTGGGTTGGATAACTTGACGGGGGGATCCATCGTTGTTGTGGGTGGCCTTCTGTGGTGGTAAGGTCAAACGTTATGACCTGGTAATAGGGACCATGGTGGGTCTGCGGGCAATTTAATTACGTCTCCGAGGCGGTGTATGACGGCTGGGGGCATTCAGGTATAAGAAAGGTGCCTGCAGACACTCGTCCATTTTGTATAGTTATAGTGGCTTCAAAGACCTTGAAACCAAACAATTCCTACTGTATTGGTTATTGTCGTTGTTTTTTTTTGTTTGATATTTATAAATGTTATTTATAAGGTTTGTAATAAAAGTCTGCTGTGGCCATTTAAACGCCTTTTCTTGTGTAGTGTATTACTTGGTAAGATTGGGATGTGGAATGGATGGTAAAGGGGGTGGTTGTCAGTTAAAGGGGGACCTCTGAGCTACCTTAGTCATGGCTTATAAAAAAAACTTTGTCTCCATTTCTTACCTGCAGGTCATGAAGAACATATTTCACCAATCCTTCAATGCTTATAAAACAGACATTGAGCCCAGAATGAGCGATGTCACGTTTTCTCAGCTGCAGTGCAGTCGCAGATTATTTGAGATCATGCTTTCACACAGGAAGGTAACCTCTGCTTTCATGGAAGGCATCAATGTGGTGGTCACATTAGAGGGAGAAGCTGCTCGGGTTCTTAACTTTGATACAGGTAGGTCTGTTCTTGTTTTCTTAAAGGCACACAACCAAAATGTTACCATGAGATGCATAGACGGAGCATAGCCTATCTAATGTACATGCTGTGTGTATTGCTAATGTTTTTTCTTAATAAAAAGGTTTCACAAGTGACTGACATACTGTATGTACTTTTCAAGCTGTGGAACTATATAATTAAATAATAAAAATGTTTCATTTACCCAAGCACAATTTGAAACCTGCTCATATATGGACAAAACCGTCTCTGCTTACCCACCAAATGGCATTTTAGATCAGACATGCAGCAGTATATAGTGGAGTACTTATACTGGTTGATAAAAGTAAAGCTGAAAAGTGATCCAACCCTGCCGGCTCTTGTATTCAGACAGCTGGCAACCAGTCGATTGGCTGCAGTCAACGTTCAGCTGCCAATTTTCCAATTGAAAAGTCAACTTTTGACAAGCTGGGTGGTGCCAGCAAGGCCAGCCAAGTAGTAAATTTCAGCCAATTCAGCAGCAAATGGACGGAATTCAATGCATGTATGGTTAGATCTTGGCCAATTCCTTGTGGGACCGTCTAAAGCTCCCACACCAGAACTCTAGCAGTCTCACCTTAGTTAATAAAGATGGCCAAATCAATGTATAGTGCAGCTATCACAATAATCAACATGGCACATATCACCATAACCAAATCACATAACACAAACACTGCTCCTGAGCAACTCAGGATAGGCTAAAGCTGGCCATACACTGGTAGATTTCCATATGAACTTTCTATAATGACATCAAAGCCTTGACATGTCATTCAAATTTTTTTTTAATTTTAGCATTCAATTCTAGAAATTAATGGTATCCGTTGAATAAAATCCACATTCACTGTTAGAATTTGTTCGAGAAATATATACTATCCTCCTCCCTCCCTTTTTCATCATGGTTATACTGACTCAGATTGTTGTATTAGTGATTTATCCCTTGCTGAGACCTCTATGTCTGGCCTGTATAAGCAGATATAATCACCGCAGACAATCCTTATCAGATAGCTGAACTCACCAAATACCTTTTCATCCACAAAGAGCTTTACTATTACAGCATGTTACAGCAGACAACAGGATACATGAGACGAATGATTAGATGGTATTTGAAGGTCAGAGATGGTAATGTTTCCAAGCGTGCAAGCAGAATAACATGCGGCCATGTTACTGTCAGCCATTCTGATGCCAAAGGACTAGCTCATGAAGAAGGGTGGTACATTACACACAAGTGGAGGGAATGCAGAAAAACATGGTGCAATAACACAAAAAAACCACAAGATGTCAGTATTATAACCAGCTATACAACCAGCTATAATACATGGCTTAAAGGAGAACTATGGGGTCAGTGTTTGTTTTTCCCCATAGTTCTCCTTGGGGTAATGGGAGGACACAAACTAGCGTCCTCCCGTTACCCTAAGCTCAGTATACCGCGAGCTACAGCTCGCGGTATACTGAGACGCCGCACATCGAGCGGATCCCGACTTAGATGACGGGATCTGCCCAGCTGCGTGAGTGACAGCTGGCTCTGCCTATCTAGAGGCAGAGCCAGCTGTACCCGCCCCCTCCCCCGTCCGTTCCGCCAGTCAGCACTGGCAGATCGGAGCGGGGGAGAGGGGAATCCAGCCCCTCCCCCTGTCACGGCAGAGAGCCGTGACAGGATCGAGAGGTGAGGGAACCCGGTATGTGTTCTCTCACCTCCCGATCTACTGAGCCGACCTGTGACAGTCTCATTGTCACAGGTCGGCTTAGAACTATGAGGTGAGTGGAAATCACTCATGTCATAGTTCTCCTTTAAGGGAAATTAACTATGTAAATTCTAATGTCATATTAATATGGATATTAACCATGACTATGCATTGTGTCATATTTTTACAACTGTGTAACAGCACAATGGTGGAAAAGGATTGTTGATTTGACCCCATTAACTATTGGAAAATTGAACAAACACTCCGAAATGTTTTTATTTATTTTTGGTATACCCTGCTAAAGAGCACCTTTTTGTTTCTTTCCAGGAGCATTGTGGATCTTTCATGCCATTTGAGAATGCACAGTCTTTTATTGTCACACAGAACCTTTTTGGGAGACTTGCAGTGAGATCGGACGATAAAGGGGTTGCCCCTGCATTCAATTCAATTGCATTCAATTATTTAGATGATGTTGATCTTATCTGCATAGCCAGAAAATTTAAAGCCTGCATTTCCTTTTAAGCAGGCACACATGCATATTTTAGCAGATGGAGCTGGGATCGCATAAAAGAATAGTTGCAGGCTTAGAAAATTGTGTCTTGTTATTCAACCTGCAAGCAGCATCTGCTGCTTAGAGATTAAACTAATGTCTGACGGTTGCCTTACAAGAAAAGACTGTGGATTTGCAGTAGCTGCTATATTTGCTTCCAAAATGTGTTAATTTGTAACTAGAGTTCCCCTTTAATATATTGTAGGCCATTGGCTGAACAAATGAAGTTGCAGGGGTCTATTTATGGCCTATTCTCATTCCCCTATGAATCTTTCTGAATGTTTGTTCTGTGTATGTAGATGAAAAAAGGAAGTTCTTAGATTGATTTTCATATCAGGTCAAATGTATGTTATGTAATATCACATTTTGGCCACTAGATGGAGCTAAGGCAATAAGTATTTATTTCATATGCTCCCTAGCTCCTTCCAGTGGCCATAATGCAGAATTACAGTACATACATTTGGCCTGAAAACCACAGAACCATTATGTAAAAGAGAGACCTAGTACATCTACACAGTCTGACCAAATAACAATTCCACCCCAGGCTTCAGGAAATAATTCTTGCATCATTCCACATTCGACAGTAATAGGTGATCCAAACAAATGGCAACTATATATCTGTATTAGCATCCAATAGGCTACTTGTTCTGTCTCACTATGCTGCATTATGGTCACTGGAAGGAGCTTCATTAGTAATTCCATTAGGTGCAATTATAACAAGACAAATACAAGGATGAAGGTTATAATTTCATCCCGGGACAAGTAAGTTACAGAACAAATAGGTACAGGACATCTCCATCTCTTTTAAATCCTGCTTTAGGCTTCAAACTACAGACTGTGTCACCAGTACTTTAGGGCAGGCTGTTAAAGTCAGGCCCAACAGATATAAAGAAGATATTTCTTAAATGCTACCAGACCCTATTAAAAAACATTACATTTGGAGACATTACTGCAGCACAGGAAAGGAACCTGACCTGTCTCTGGTGTCAACCCTTTCTGAGACACTAGCCGGAACACCCCTGTAAGGTTTCCCAGTCTCCTTGTTGGATTATTTATTTTATATTTATTTTATATTATGCTAAAGATTCCAAGACATTAATCACTCATCCTCATAGTTTGAGGTGAAGTGTGACAATGAAACTATCACACATTGTCTCAATAGATTGTGACGTGAGTTAGCGCATAACGTCGCTCTCTCACTTCTTTATCATCTCACTTCAGAGAGCGGTGACTGTCAGCCACCACTCCCCGCAGGGATTCCCCCCTCCCCTCTCTGATCCTTCAGCGCTGACTGGAAAAACGGATGGAGGAGGGGGTGGGTACAACTGGCTCTGCCTCTTGATAGGCAGAGTCCGCTGTCAATCAGCCAGCTGGGTGGATCTCGACAGCACTGTTGGGATTCGTCCCGGCTGCAGCAGTCTCGGTATACTGTGAGCTATAGCCCGCGATACACTGAGCTTTGGAACAGTAGAAAGGCATCATGGCACACTCACAAACCAGCATGTAAAACAACTTGTCTCACCACTAAGGACAATGACAGAGGTTTGGATACACGTCTTCTGCAAAGGATGTGTAAGCCGCACTGCCGCGCCAAGGCACCTCTTATAGTGCGGTCCTAACTCTAAACTATGAGAGTCTCCATCTTGGAGCACATGGGGCAGAAGATATCAAATTGGGTGCAGGCCTGTCAGGAGGACGCCCCACCTCCTTAAAGGTACAGAAACACACAAGGGATCCCGCACATCCCATTGGCAGCTGAGAAACCCCATGCGTCGCTGCACCAAATCGGTAAAGCAAAACAAACGACAAACGCACTCAACAATTTGTCACCAGTTATACAGTAAGGTGCCCCCATGTGCTCCAAGATGGAGACTCTCATAGTTTAGAGTTAGGACCGCACTATAAGAGGTGCCTTGGCGCGGCAGTGCGGCTTACACATCCTTTGCAGAAGACGTGTATCCAAACCTCTGTCATTGTCCTTAGTGGTGAGACAAGTTGTTTTACATGCTGGTTTGTGAGTGTGCCATGATGCCTTTCTACTGTTCTACTGTTCAAAGCCCATTTCGTGTGCACCTTACTGTACAACTGGTAACAAATTGTTGAGTGCGTTTGTCGTTTGTTTTGCTCTACACTGAGCTTTGGGTCACAGGATTGGGTCTTAAGGGTCCTCCCGTGACCCTTAAGAGAACTTTGGGGAAAAACACTTACCCCATAGTTCTCTTTTAAGAAACCAAGGGCCGATTCAGCCCACCAGGTTCCACCTATAGCTAAATATTTATTTTGGCTGAATTGACCCTTTTGAAATTTAACTCTGCCCTCCATTGTGCTTTTCTTCTGTGTCCTGAACTGGTTGGGGCCAAGTGATTGATCAGAATCTTTTCATAGAATCACACGAGACCCAATCCTTCGATTGCCTTTGACATTTGCAGGCCGGCTTTCCTCCTTTAATTCAATATTCTGCCAAATTGCATAGCAGAAGGACTCTAAACCAGTTTATATTTTCTATAGTTTGTTTTCTTCTAAATGTAAAATGTGTCTTTACGTGTAAGTGGAATATCTGTGCAGCTATACAGTATAGCTACACTAAAAAGCATAGCAGGCAGATTATTTTACCTGATGCAAGGTTCCCTTTAAATGAATCCAACAGACATTTGCCTAAACATAAAAAATATATTGATATAAAAGATTTTACGGCTAAATATTACTAACCATCAAACCCTTTGCCTTTTATTACGGTACTTTCCACAGCACTTTCCCTCTCAAATGGTATAAGTAATTCCGATCAATAAACTTTGTCTAAACTAAGCATTTCAGGAAACCGGGATTGCTGGTCAATTTACAGCTTTATGGATTGCAATTCGGTATTATGAGTTTGTCGTTTCCGCTGGCAAGCTAAGAACCTATTCGTTGTGAAGTCTAAATTTATCTTGGCAATTGTATTAAACAATGAATGTGGCATTGCACAGCTCCCTCTTGTGGTTGAAGCAGGAGACGCAGCTCAGCAAGTCATATAAGCAAAAAATGCATCCTTTTATTCAGCTTTGGACACCTACAGACAGTCATGGCCAAAAATATTGGCACCCCTGCATTTCTGTCAGATAATGCACCACTTCGCGCAGAAAATTGTTGCAATTACAAATGTTTCGGCATTCTCATGTTTATTTCTTTTGTTCGTATTGGTATGACATAAAAAAAAGGAGACAAAAAAGCCATATCTGACACATTCCACGCAAAACTCCAAAAATTGACTGGACAAAATTATTGGCACCCTCACTTAATATTTCGTAGCACAGCCCTTGGCAAAAATAACTGAAATCAATTGCTTCCTGTAACCATCAATGAGTTTCTTACAACTCTCTACAGGAATTTTGGACCACTCTTCTTTTGTCAACTGTTCCAGGTCTCTCCGATTGGAAAGGTTCCTTTTCCCAACTGCTGTTTTGAGATCTCTCCATGGGTGCTCTATGGGATTCAAATCTGGACTCATTGCTGGCCAGTCCAGTACTCTCCAGCGCTTTGCCTGAAACCATTTCTGGGTGCTTTTTGAGGTGTGCTTTGGGTCATTGTCCTGCTGTAAGACTCATTACCTCTGACAGAGACCCAATTTTCTGACACTGGGCCCTACATTGCACCCCAGAATTCTTCAGATTTCATAATGCCATGTACACAGTCAAGGCATCCAGTGCCTGAAGCAGCAAAGCAACCCCAAAACATTAGTGAACGCCCACTATGTTTGACTGTAGGGACTGTATTTTTTTCTTGAAGGCCTCATTTCTGAAAACTTGATGGGCTTTAACGAAAAGCTGTTAATTTTGTGTCATACCAATACAAAAGAAATAAACATGAGAATGCCTAAACATTTGTAATTGCAACAGTTTTCTGCGCGAAGTGGTGAATTATCTGACAGAAATGCAGGGGTGCCAACACAACCCCAAAACATCAGTGAGCCTCCACCATGGAAATTAGGAAATTAATATTTATTTCTCATGCTCTTCAGCTCTATCTAATGGCCATAATGTGTCATTACATTAAATTTGATTATGAGAAAAAAATGTACTAGGAAAGTTTTGTTTTTGCCTCTATTTGCTAAAAACAAATAGAAACAAAAAGAAACAGGGTGCCCCTCTCATGTGTAGAACATTTATTAGAACGGGAATTACAAAAGCAAATATACTCACAAAAGCAGTGTTAAATGCGCATGGGTTAAAATTGGCCTGTGAGGGCGTCACATTCGTGATCGTAGATTTTCTCCTCGTAGGCAGTTGGCTCGAACACAGCCTCCGGTCACATCTCTCTCTGCACCAGCCACTGTAATACATGTACTGTGCTAGGCTGTACTTAGCCTAGTACACAGACATGTCTAGTGCAGACAGAAATGTGACTGGAGACTGTGTTCGGACCAACTGCCTACGAGGAGAATGGGTCGTTCTCACACGCCAATTTTAACCCATGCGCATTTAACGCTGCTCTTGTGAGCAGATTTGCTTATGTAATTTTTGTTTGAATAAATGTTCTACACATGAGAGGGGGGCTCTGTTTCTTTTTGTTTCTACATATACTGAGGGATCCCTAACCTTTTGAGGAGCTGCCGCTGGATGTGTGGAGAGGGTGTCCCGGATTGAGGGATGCTGTGATCCTATTGGCGCTGAGTTAAAGGCGTTGTTGTATGTTGCTCAAAACAAATGTTCACAGAGATTTGCAGGGTGAATGGCTCTGCACATAGTTTTTAAATAGACTCCTTCAAGTATTGCATTGATGGGACATAAAACAGTTATATAGACATTCTGTGCAATGGCTTTTCATTGCTGCATTCTCATAGCCTGTTAGAAAATTGAAAATTGATCTTTCTTACCCCTTTGAGATGACCTTTGTATACACAGAATGTCCCTTTCCTCCATTGGCAGGTGCCATGTGACTAAGCAGTAGGGTTGCCACCTTTTCTTCAAGCGAAACCCAAACACATTAGCGTTGCGCAGACATTTTTCTGGGAGATTGAGTCGTGGCTTATTCATATGTAAACAGCGCCGCCCATTCATATGTAAATAACACAGTTGAGACTATTTTCAGTGGGGGGCCAGTAGCCCCTATCTTAATTTTGGTTGCCACTGTCTGCCTGACATCTTGTGTCCACGTTTCTGCTGCCATGAAACCCGGACACAACATTTAAAACCTGGACTGTCTGCAGGACTGGATTCACTCTCTCTGCTGCCCCAAGGCCAGGTTCCTCAATGCACCCCCCTGCCGCCATACACCTCCCCCCAATGGAGAATGGCAGACCTGCAGGCTTGGGGACATCACCGACATTACTTGTACAAAACAAGAGGTGGCTTCTCCGCTGTACATTTAGCTCTGCTTGCCCAAAGGGCTAAATGTAGAAACTAACTACCCGCCCGGTGCGCGGAACTGCATGTCCTGGGCATCGGGAGATAGGAATTCCACACCCCTGCTGCCCCTGTACTCCCTGCTGGCCCAAGGACGGGTCTTGGTTGGCCTTGTGGGAAATCTGGCCCTGACTGTCCGGGTGAATCCTGGACAGGTGGCAACCCTACTAAGCAGGTAGGGTGTTTCTAGTATGTGCTGCACATATTTTCTTTTTAGCTAATGTTTTTTTTTCTGCTTTGTCACAGGCTGTGGTGTCAATCTAGGCCTACGAGGCCTGGAATCGTCAGAGGAGTTTATTTACAATGTGGCTGTAGCTGTGGACCAGAGCGATGTGTTTGAAGCCCTGTCAGCCAAGATAAAGCACTCCAAGCAAGTGGTAGAAGACTTCAAGTTCAGTGGACTGGCTGCTTCAGTATTTGAATAACAAAGAGATATCCTAACAGGACTCTAAAGGTCAACATGGGCCCTTTTACCCAAGCACATTGGAGGCAGCCATTTTGTATTTTGAGCTGTTAAAGCAGTCAGGACAGCCTTTAAGACTGTAGGAATGATTTAACATTTCTCATGTGATGGAACAGCATTTCTGAGTACAATGGGTATATGGACTGTATCCAGATTAGAGCACCTGTCAGGTTTTTATTGCTGTCTGCGTCCCCTTTAGGGAGAATCACCCTGGTGACCATTATCACTGAAACTAAAAGAAAAGTTTGGATTGCCATCGGAACAAAAATAGATGAGAAATCTTCTAATGGGGATACTAGTTCGTGTGACCACCGGGAATTTCCCCCTCATTGGAGGGATTTCTTATCACGTCCTGTTGTAGTTATCAGACAGGAAATGAAGGCAAAGCTCCCCAATGGGACACAGATGGCAAAAAAAAATGCTAACAGGGGTAATAACACTCCCTTACTCTATTCAAAACTCTATGTAAAAAATGGCTTCAGTTCTACTATAAAGCATTATATATATTACAGCTTACACATTCTAAAATGTGATGGCTGCATTAGTTTTCTTTTTGAAACCACCGCATCTAAGGTTTGGTGAACTACAATATGTTAAATTTTTTGGGATATGGATTTCAGTATTGCTAGATGCTCCTCTTTAACTCCAACCACAGAAGGCATCATCCACATTTAATGAAGTTAAAAGAGAACTATGGGGTAAGTGTTTTTCCGCATAGTTCTCTTAAGGGTCACGGGAGGACATAAACTAACGTCCTCCCGTGACCCAAAGCTCAGTATATCACGAGCTACAGCTCGTGGTATACTGAGATTGCCGCAGCCGGGACGGATCCTGACATTACTGTCGAGATCCACCCAGCTGCGTGAGTGACAGCGGGTTCTGTCCATCTAGAGGCAGAGCCAGCTGTACCCGCCCCCTCTCCCGTCCGTCAGTCAGCGCTGGGGGGAAATCCCTGCAGGGAGCCGTGATTGACAGTCACTGCTCTCTGCAGGGAGATGATCAAGAAGTGAGCGAGCGACGGTATGCGTTCGCTCACTTCCCGATCTATTGAGCCAATGTGTGACAGTTTCATTGTCCCACGTCGGCTCGAACTATGAGGATGAGTGATTTTCACTCACCTCATAGTTTTCTTTTAAGTGTATGGGTGACCCATATATCTATTATTAGATGGACGTGTATGCACCGCCATGGTTCATCCAGTGTCATACTTATACAAAATGGCTGCCTTCATGTTACATTAAAACTGGATCAAGTGTTACAGAAGAAAGTGAAAAACATATTACTTGTAAAGGGCTAAGCCTGTTCTGAAAAGCAGCATGACAGCCATTTTTTTGTTTGTTTTTTTTTTTTTTCAAAATGAATAAAGTTTTCTATGTTTTCATTTTGCATCATGTTAGTTTTTAATTGCATGTTGTGTGGTATCATACTGTACCATGCCAGTATGGAAACATTGATTCAAAGTAAATTTGAAGTGTATGTGATTAGCATAGGCAGCCAAATTCTTTTATATTTTAAGCTACACTAGAAAAAAGACACCTTCCTTGTACCTTTTCTAAGCATTACCCCAGTAAAAATTTGTAAGACAGAACTCTCTCAAAAAAGGCCATGTGTAATTACCCCTTAAACTTAAAGAATATCTCTGGGTAAAAAAAAAAAAAAAACTACCCGCACTTCTAGTGTTAACTGCCCATTTCTAAGGGTACTTTGAAGAGGACTTTTACTTACCTAATCCCCGCTCCCCCAGCAGTTAGAGCTCACCTCACTCCCCTCTGTGCCGGCTTTGAACTGTCCCTTGGCATCCTCGCTCATAGCCCTGCATTGTATGTGGTGACCTTGGTGGACAACCGACCCCCCGAAGTGTAGGTGGGAAGAGGCTGCATGGACCCGTCTTGGAGTCAAGGGGAGCGAGGATCAGGTAAGTAAAAGTGTTTTACTCAGGTACCCTGGATAAAAATGATCAGTTAACCCTTACAGTGTGGGCGCTGCTTCTCTTTTTTACCTGGAAATATGCTTCAAGGTGTATAGTGCGAGTTGCCTGCTTTTGACAACATTTTGTTGCCAATGTGATCCTCCTGGTCACCTTACAACTGTTGCTAGTTAACGTGAACAGTTCCATGGTGGGAGTGATGACAGCAGGTCTTGTGTAAGCTCCAGCCAATGCTTGCACAGGGCTGAGAACTTTCTCCCCACCCCTATTAGACAGCACTGGTGTCTAATTAACCAATTCCGGTATAATCATACTCAGGGGCGTAACTAGAAATCACAGGGCCCTATAGCAAAATTTTGTGTGGGGCCCTGTTATTTCTAGTTACGCCTACCTGATAACCCAAACAGCCCACCTAAGGGTGACCCTGCAGAGCCCACCATAGACTCTCTATGGTAGGCTCTGCAGGGTCTCAGGCGGTCGGTCAAGCCCTCTTACCTGTCAGACCTGATCCTCTGTCCGCCTCCTTCTCCTCCACGATCGACTCCTCCGTCACTGGGCCCTGCCTCCTCAATCGCCGGGCCCCGCCCCTCGGTCGCCGGGCCCTGCCTCCTTACAGCCGCCAGTGACAGCCAGCAGCCTGGCTGTCCGAGCAAGATGCCATAGCGACCCAGGCGGCCCGCATGGCATCAGGGAGATGTCCTGGCCGGGCCCCGCCGTGCCTCGGGCCCCATAGTGGCCGCCTGGGTCGCTATGGTGATTGTTACGCCACTGATCGTACTGCACTCTTTACTGTTATGTTCTTTGCGGTGGGTGCTGTAGTGACTGCGGATGGCGCAGCTTCAGATTCAACTTGTAAAATATATCATCAGCACAACGTGGTTAAATCTTCAGAAAGTGATCCCTTTATTGATGCACACACATCTTGACACATTGCAACGTTGCGGGGCCACTCGGGGTCCCTTCCTCAGGTTTAATCAACCAATTAAGCACCAGTGTTGTCACATGGGAGGAAGAGGAATGGGCCATCCTATACCCATAAGTACTGGATAGTTTTCTTCACTCTCGGCATCAAAAGGAGGAATGAAGAAGTGAAGGGAACGTGAGTATGTAGAGAAGGACAACTGGTCACATTTTTAGTGAACGCAGACCGCTACATGCCAAAAAATTGGTTTTGTTCAGCTGGTTTCCACTCAGAGAGCTCTGGAGCATTCTAACACACTTTAAAGATGATCTATAATAAAGAATGCGACAGAGATCTGATGAAAGCGACACATTTTCTGAATCCCTGCCCTGAAACTAGTATGTGGTCCATGAGTTGAGAAATATCTGATTTCATTACAGGCTTCTAACTAATTAAGTCCTTAAAAATAAAAAAAAGATGATGGATACGACTGCCCTTTAAAATAGTGTTATGGGGAGACTCAGCGTATTCATTTGTTAGCTAAAGTGAAGGACTTATACTTGCAATGTGCTGGGCCAAGGTCTCATAGCAGAGGATTGTAACCTTGGGTGAGCTGGAACATTTTACACAGACAACTGTTGACACCTGGAATTTTATTTTGGCTGGTCCACATACAGCTCTATTTGTGTTCTGCTTTTTTAGACTTAATGCCAAGAGCATTAGCAAATAACCTTGATTCTGCAAATGTTTGATTCCTTGTCCAGGGCAATAAACAGGGTGGAATATACACATTCTCTTACTGAGGTTTCTCAGATCTCAGCCACGTGTTCACCCTTTTATAGTAACACCGATAACTAGGCTGAAAAAATAGACTTGTGTCTTTTACCTTCAGCCACTCAATCTACAGGATTTGTAATCCAGATGAAGACAGAGCAAAAGCTTTAGGGCAATTGTGGCCAACTTTGCCTAAAAGGAGGAGAAAATTAATTTTTTTACCCAACAACTACAGCGTGATCATTTCCCCAGACACCATGTGATCATTGGTCATTATTAGGCATGTGCAGGGTAAAATAAAATAGTTTTGGATGAAATAAATGAAGACGAAAAACATTTTCATTTGTTTCGTCAAAGTAAACACATTTTTATGCTGTTTCGGATTCGGAGACAAAGAGCCTCCGAATCCAAAACCGCACACTAAAACTGCAGAACGAGCGGCGGCCATGTCGGCCACCGGCGCGTTCTGTGCATATGCGCCACCATCTTGGAGTGTATCTTTGTAGACACCAAGATGGCGGCGCCCGCATGTTTAGGCACTGTCATCTTGGTGTATACCAAGATATATTCCAATACGGCCACCGCTTGTTCAACGCGTGACATCACCGTCATGTGTTCCGCCTTCAAGATGGCGGCAGGCATGCACAAAACACGCCGGCGGCCAACATGGCCACCGCACATTCTGAAAACGGATTTATGTATGCCCGAATATAGTTTTCGTATATTCGGCATATAATTAATTAGTTATTTCAGATTCGAGCGAACCGCCGAACAACCTGAATTTTGTTGATTTGCAGGCTCATCCGAATGCACATGTCCTAGTCAGTGGGTGGGTGCCATAGCCAGCCTGCTATTGGCTATGATACCTGCCTACTGCCTGCTATTAATCAGCCTGATGGAGATCTCAGTTGGGCAAATTTGGGTAATGATATCAGCCTGGCCCCTTTGTTTACATTCAGCAGAAGGCTGGGGAATCTCCCGGCTGACACCTGAATGAGTTCTGGATTGCATATTTGGTCGATAGGACTCTGGTGGCCCGGAGCTTTAAGTACACCCTCTGTAAGTACCTAAATTGGGCTTTTTGTTAGGCTTTTTAAATCCTACGTACAGTAGAACTGGGAGAGGAAGAGGGAGAGCCAACCAAGTGTGTCAGATTCACATGGGTTCATCAACCTGATGCTGCTCCTTTATTATCCAATCACAAGTTGGGGACAAGGAGGTGACCTTCCTGTGTAACTCTTACTGCATAAGAGAAAAATCAGGCTGTGCCATCTGAAAGGGCCGCTATCTCTCAATACACAGTCCAATACATGATAATTTTGACTATGTTGTGGGGCCACCAAGAGTTTCATGCATTAAGTCTTAATAATGGGCAGGAGATGAAAGAAATACAGTTCTATAGTTTATCTATAAACATATGGGAACATACAGGCTTCTTTATTATTATTATTTTTTTAATATGTCTTTTATTTTAATTTCATTTTTACACCATTTTGGTTTGTGCTTTCTTCTAGTTGCTTCTTTTATTATTTATTTTTATTTCTCACAACACAAATCCAAAAAAGAAAAAAAGTGGATTCAAACTTTAATGATCCATTTGCAATCCATTTATAAACCATTTAAAAAAAACAAAAAACAAATGCAGAATAATAAAATCTGAAAAAATGAAATTCTAATATTTGTGAGGGTAAGAAGGCAACAAAGGCAAATGCGTACGTTGCTTGCGGATTCCTTTCTCCTTTTTAAACAATAAACCAGATTAATGGAAATGGTTCACGAAAACGCACAAATAAAACGCTTTTCGTGTACATGGCCTGACTATAGCTAACCAGACGTGTCCCCTACGGAATGATAAATTCACAGATGTATTTCTTTAAGCTACGACACACTTCATCGACCCATTTTCCTTGGGACGCCTGGGTGAGAAGGGCACAGTTTTTACGCTTGCCTCCACTGGGCGGGCGCTCCCAATTAAAATAAGTTATAGCGATGCCATTCACGTCCACGTATTTGCCCTCGTTGACCATATCGTTGATGCCCAACCAGAAATCCGCAGCCCCTGGGAGGCTCTTTTTTCCATAATCCCGAAGGGCGCTGTTCTGATCTCCGTCTCTAGGTGTCGCCAAAGTTCCCCCTTTGGCTATACAGTCCTCGTTGGCTTCATGGAAGTGCTTGGTTTCTTCGAAGGCTAAGTAGCATCTTTTATGGATCTTGGTACCCCGCAGGCAGACTGCAAATAAAGGCAATTCTGATCATTAATGATTGTAGAGGAGAAGACGCTTACAAACTAATATTGCATTTTGCTCATAAAATACTGTTGCTGCTTCATGAGCTTTTAAATGGGACTTGACAGTGCAGAAATCATGAGGCTGATGCTGAGGCAGTATGAGGGTTGTGGAAATCCCAACAGCAATTTATCTGATACAATTACCCATGATGCCGTTTTTTAATCAGATTAAATTGACGATCGCAGAAGAAGCTCCAGTCTCAGTAAAATGCAGGGTGTTGTTTTGTAATGGAGATCTGTTGAAAGGGTCAAACCTCTTTTCCCTACAAATAACATTTTTGTGCAGAACACATTTTCTGAGCAGTAGGGATGAGTGGTAAGTGCCCCAACATACCGAGCTGTTTTCTGCATTTTTAGCACATTGTTATCTAATGCATACATGGGCATTTTACGGCCTATAAGCCATATCAAGCCCTTGGTCTGTGTCTGTCCAGCCTGCTGACCTGCACTCCGTTATGGCTGGATGACAGTGGATGCACCGGACTCCAAGGCCAGTGCATCCACTGCAAGCCATAGCACAGCGCAGGTTGGCGATCAGTTCATGTTCAGACCACGTTTCTCTTCAGTCCTTGGTTGCTAGGACTGTTGGCATCCTAGCAAACCAGTGACGTTGATGTCCTCCTCTGCAGTCACTGGTTGCTAGGACCACTGGACGGTCCTAGCAAACCAATGACGTCAGCTGTCCTCCTACGTCTCCTCTCCTGCAGCTTCCGCCTGTGGACTTAAAAAAAAGAACTTAAAATGGCATGTGCGGGTTGCATGGGGGTTGTGATCTGGCATCTGTAGTTTCCAGCCCGGCAGCGACTAAGGCACGGTACCGTGCAATGCACCTACCTTGTGCTACAGTGCAGCAGGTGACACCACAATGCACAGTATTACATTACCGCATGTTGCAGACCTCTGCTTCATCAGCTTCTCTGGGGGTCCCTAGGTGTCATTAGGGGTTATAAAGACCTCTGAGGTCTCCATAAAGAGGACCTGTCACTGTAAACTGACTATCACATAGGGGGCTTGTTAGCCTCTTATGTGATAACAATAAAGTTAAGTGTAAACAAAACAAAAAACAAGTTTAAAAAAATTTAAATCACATATAAAAAAATTTAAAATATGTGAAAGTCCCCCGCCCCCACATACACACACAAACATGCATCGCGTGCGCCTATGTGTGAAAATGATGATTGAGTCCCTTGCACCATACATGTTACATATTACCGCGAACGCCGGAGTGAGAGCAATTATTTTAGGGTCATTAATCACTGATAGCACTAAACTGATGAGCAGTAAAATCTTTTAAAGCATCGCCTAAGGGCAATATTAGGTATGGTAGTTTTTTTGCAATTTTTTGCGGGCACATGCAATTTAAGGCTTGACATGTTTGGTGTCTATTTACCCGACGTGACCCCGTCTTTTATATTTTACCAAAAAATTTGGGCAATATTAAATGTTCCATAATATAATGTAGGGACATTTCAGTACTTTTTTCTTTATATAGTAAAAAATAAAAACCCCAGTGGTGATTAAATACCTCCAAAATAAAGCTCCATCTGTCCCCAAAAAATGGTATAAAATTCATTTCAGTACAGCGTTGCATGATGGAATAAACGTCCGTCAAAGTACCGCAGCACAGAATACTGAAAAATGGCCTGGACAGGAAGGGGGTTTAACACCCCCAGCCAGCAAATGGTTAAATAAAGTGCCACTAACCAATCCCAAGGCTGAGGGGTAAGGTCAGGCTCATTAGCCTACAGCTGGCCAGGAAGTCTGGGGAAAGGTGTAATGGCAGCAAACAACCACCAGGAGGAGCTTGGTGGCTGCAACAGACATAAGAGCATTACACAGTCTCCAACCCCTTGCAATGTGAGCCAGATTTAAAATATCAGCTGGTGTGCAGAAACTTCTCCCAGTTTGATTTGTTTTCCTTTTGTTTTGGAAGTATTTGGAAAGTGAAGATTTAGGTTTAGGTTTTTAGGTTTTTAGAACTATCATATTGCTGTGTAATGAAAATGTTTTTGCTGGAGTTGGACTTTAACATTCGGACGGATTCCAGATAATTAAGCACAGCACTTTAAAAAAAAATAAGCCGTGAACTGGCACCGCTGAGATCAAAACACGTTACAAGTCCGCAGACAGCTCGTAATCCCTTTTTTTCTTAAATAAGGATTCTGAAATGCTATTTTTGCCTTCAAGGCCGAGCTTCAGAGTGAAATGAATATGTTTCATCGGGGAGGCTGACAGAATGCTTCTGTTCACACCAGGTGAGAAGATAATCACCATTCACTGGCCTGTCATGTGACACGCTGAGTCAAAGGAAACCTGGACTGACAATATAGTAAGTATAGAGGCTGCTAGTGCTGAGATCTCCCTCTGGAAATGCTAATTGCCTGGCTGTCATGTACACCAGTTCTGACATTATTCTAACTTGCTTGCTACATTCTTGTTTCAGGTCAGTAACTCTGAAAGCATTGAAACCAACAGCAGCCAGACAACTAGCATGTTCAGACCCAGGATGCCGAAAGCCCCTCATAATTTTGAAACATTGGTTTCCTTTAGGCCTGGTTCGTCTTTGTGGAATTAACGTGTCAGTCCCCGTTCGCACCTAGACATAGAGGGAACCTGCATCGTGCTTGCATGCATTTGCGCTCTTCACCAACTACCCCCCGGCTTTTTTCCAGTGTCTCATGCACGTCCCTATTGATTTCAATAGGTGCTGCCTGAGTATCAAATGCAGGAAACGCAGCTCATGTAGCAAAATCTGCAACATGCGTTCCACATTCTTTTCCCGCACATTTGTGCACGTTTTAACACGGGCCAATGCACAGGGGAAAAGCATGTTTCAACAGCCGCATTTGGGGGGGCCATTTTAATTATAATGGCACTGCAAGCGTGTTGTGCGTTTTTGAACATGTCACTGAATGTGCATTTTTGTGCATTCTAGGAATGCCTAGTTGTGAACAGGGACTAAGGCTAGGAGTCCTGTGAACGCACATTGACGTACGTTCACGGAGCGTGTCAAAAACGGGCTAATAGTGCCATTATTGTTAATGGCACTCCAACTACAGCCAGGAAAACATACTTTTCCCCCACGCATTGGAGCATGTTAAACACACACAAACTAGGGTTGCCACCTTTTTCTTCCAGCGAAGCCCGAACACTCTAGCGACGCACGGAAACATTTTTTGGGAGAATTAGTCATGGCTCATTCATATGTAAATAGTGCCGCCCATTCATATGTAATATCACAGTTGAGACTATTTTTAGTGGGGGGCCAGAAGCCCCTATCTTAATTTTGGTTGCCCCTGTCTGCCTGACATCTTGTATCCGGGTTTCTGCTGCCATGAAACCCGGACACAGCATTCAAAGCTCGGACTGTCCGGGTGAATCCTGGACAGGAGGCAACCCAAACACAAACGCGTAGGGAAAAACGTGGAATGCATGTCCCATTGAAATCAAGGCCTAGGTGTGAATAGAGCCTCAAGGCTCTATTCATTACATTCATTACATTAATGCATCTCAGTGTACTGGATGTCCCACCCGTGCTGTAGAAATGTGACGCACAGCCACATACGGTAGTGCGGTCTGTCTTTTGAAGTGTGTTGCAACACCGGTGAATATAGGTAGGTCGAATGTAATGTAACACTGCATTATGACCACTAGAGAGAGCAGAGGAGCATATGAAATACTTATTTTCCCATTCTGCTCAGCTGCATCTAGTGGCCAGAATGTGGTATTACATTCGACCTGAAAAGAAAATCTACTAAGCACTTTTGTTTTTGCCACTCTTAGCATTGAAAGAACGCTCACAGAGATTCGCAGGGTGAGTTGTTTATAAATAGTAAAGGAAGGACACCGGCACTCCAAAGCAAGTTCAGTACGTGTTTATTGATGTACTAGTTGCAAGTAGAACACTCTAAACAATGTTTCGGGGTCTCACAGGATCACCTTCATCAGGCAAACAAGTGACTTGTTTGCCTGATGAAGGGGATCCTGTGAGACCCCGAAACGTTGTTTAGAGTGTTTTACTTGCGCCTAGTACGTCAATAAACACGTACTGAACTTGCTTTGGACTGCCGATGTCCATCCTTTACTGATATTTTGTCGTAAGCCACCTGCTGACACCTACTGCACCCACCCTCCATTGTTGGAGCAGCGGCTGTGAGTGCGATGGGTACACGGACTGTATCTTGTTTATAAATAGACCACCAAGTTTCTTTTTTTTATCTCCGGGAGATTGAGAAACTGTTTGCCTTTTCAGCAGAACTTTCACAGGGTTATTCACAAAAGGGTGAAGAGTTTGGAGAAGGCAGGAGAAGTGAACAATCTAGGGACAACATAGCTGAGCTGGAAAGTGAGCTGAATTGGAGAATGTTTCCAAATCAGCTATTTTGGCCTAAATTGTTTACTTCTCCTGCCTTCTCCAAACTCCTAACCCTTTTGTGAATAACCCTGTCAGTGTCACTTATTTACCTGTCCATTCCTCCACTAGAGGGTGCACTACCTACAAATGTTTCATTGCTCCTCCTCTAGTGAAGTATAACTATAAGGAGACAGTGGCATCACCCACCTCCTGCTAGAAAATCCAGCCTGACACGTCACAGCCGTGAAGTCTGTTTATAGTGCTGCTTCCAGTTCTGTTTACGGTACATGACTGCTATATATATTTAAAGTGAACCTTTTACAAACCGAGGGAATCTGAACAGTGCAATTATGAAGAATGTATAATTAGGGATTAACCACGACACTCAATAAGATATAGTCACTTGAAGTTATATGCACATCTTAATAACTCTCTATAAAAGTCAAGTCTGGCCACATCCCATCTTCATCCTAAACCTTCCGATTGGTCAGTGAGACTATGGAATGCATACTTGGTAAGGGCTAGTCACAATACGCATATCATTTCAGCTGCCTATATCTCAAGACCTGCAAACTGTTTTAATGTTGTTATGGAAGATCATCACTGCTTATTATTTATTTTGGATATATAATACAACCAAGATTTTAAAGTTTATATCCACTTTCGCAGACCAATTTGAGAAAACCCCTCTATATGTTTGTCATGTGTATCTTTTCATACAGCATACCCAAAAATAATTTTTAACAAACTATTTCTTACCTTTTAGATGTTTTGTTGCAGCAGGCAACATGGCTGATTGCAGGTTTTTCTCAGCCCCTGATCTGTCCTTATGGAAATGCCTAGGACAGTACTGTGTGGTTTGTGTTTCACTCAGTAACTTTATTAAAGGAGAACTATGGGGTTAAGTCTTTTCCCCATAGTCCTCCTTAGGGTAACGGGAGGACACAAACTAGCAGCTGCTCGCAGTATACTGAGGCGCCACAGCCGAAGCGGATCCCGACAATTGTGCCGGGATCCGCCCAGCTGCGTGACTGACAGCTGGCTCTGCCTATTTAAAGGCAGAGCTGATGGA